TGTGATTCTTCCTTTTGTTTTTTTTTTTCTACGACTTCTCCCCTCTTTTTTTTTTTGTGCTTTTCTCTCTCTATTTTTTTTTCAGACCCAGCAACACAGATTCAACAGAGCAAGACGAAAAGAGTTGCAGACAAGAAAGAAAAGAACCCTAATTTTTTTTTTTTTTTGATGTTAAAACTGAAAACTAAAGATACGCAAACCTGATTTAGGGATCTGATGCTCTGATACCAAGATGATGAGAACCCCAAAGAGAACAATGAGACCCACAGCACGACAAGGATTTCTAAACTCCAGGAAAGCTAAATCAGGTTTATAATAGAGCCTTGACCCGTTGTTTATGTCACAACAAGAACCAAAGGTAAAAACCTTGACCCGTTGTCTATGACGCAACAAGAACCAGAGGTATAAAGTTGGTTGACACCACACCCTCGAACGATTAAGAACAAGAATGATAAATCAGATTAGAACGCCACAAGAATAATCTTGATAAGTTTTGTAAAGTTCTGAAATGAACCAAAGAGAAAAGTCTCTCAAAATCTCAGATTCAATAGCCTCCTCCCCATTAGGGTTACAAGCCTTTTATATAGAGAAAACAAATCCTAATCAGAATAGGAAGCTAACACCTTAAGTCCTAAACCTAATAACCACGAATTGGGCTTCAAATAAACAAATGTTCAGCCCAAAAATAATACAAAAAATGTGAAAATCACTAAAAATAACCTAAAATAACATGAAACATCAGTTTGCTACAAATTGCGGCAGAATTGTGTGATTTTGACGCAAACTGTGTAATTCCGTGCAAAGGGCCTCAACAAAGCTTCTCTTGAACCTAAATGATGTTTGCCATGCCTTGATAATCATCCAAGCTTCGATTTGCTTGTTGTATGTTGTTTTCTACCCCGATCTGCTCAATAAGGCCATTTAAAGTATCACGCATCTTCTTAGCTCTAGCTCGCGTGACTTGACCTCCTTGGGTGTGTAATGGATCACATGACGTAGTAGATATGCTGTCGTCTTGATTCCCATCTGCCAGTGAAGCTCTGCCATGGAAATCTACTACAGTAACTCGTGCACTTGCAAATAACCTTTGTGATTGAAGACCTATAACTCAAAAAATATTGAAATATGCTTGTTGACTCCTCGTTTTGTTGTGGGCTAAGGGAGCTGTGAAGCTTTTGTACATTCCCCCA